AAGGGTGCCAGGCGGGGCTGCGGGGAGTGAGCGGGGGCCCAATCCCTGCAGGCCACCCCAAGGGACCCCACCTATGCGAATTTATGCACCGGGCCTCTAGTTAGTAATAAGCCTCTAGGAAAAGGAGAAGTTCACCTCTAAGAACATTGAGAGATGAAGCAGAGATCATGTCATGTGGTATGAGGTAGCTAGAAGTTGGGTTCCAGAGCCATCAGACTGGGTTTGACTCTTGGCTCCACTACTTGAGAACTGTATGAATTGGGCAAGTTACTTCCTTCTCTGAGCCTCAGTTTCCTCACTGAAAAATGTGATTATTAATAGTCCCAATTAGTAATGGAATCTATCTCATAGGGCCATTGTGAGAAGGAAATGATGCATTTAAAACAGTTTCCATACAGCCAGACATATACACAATAAATATTGACTGTTATTGTTATTTTTACAACTCAAAAATTTTGTGGGCCTAGTTCTCTGCTTTAAAACTATGCTGTGTTCCTCAAATGATGAGGTAAAGAAACATTCTGAGGAATGTGTAGAAAAGTTATTTCTTTTTATTAATTCTTATTTTCTCAAGGTATATTTAATATTTTTAAATGGTTAGTTAGGTTTTTGTAGTGGATAGTCTACAAAAAGCTACAGAATTAGTATTTTTGGCCCAGGGACTTATGAAGTTATCATGATCATTTTTTATCAGTGCTTGAAGATTCTGAAGTTGTAAGATACACTTTTATTGTAATCCCCCATGTTTAATTATGCATTCAAAATGTAAATATTGTCATTTAAAAAAAACAAACCATTAGTTTAAAACACTACAGTTCTACACTAAGAAAGTTTGATAACCATCAAATGAAAACAGATAGGGAATGGAAAATAAACACCATCCATAATAGTAACATTATCTGCAGCACTTTAGTAAAAGGGCCCATCAACATTTTTGTTCTGAACTCCATTTTTTCAAGGTAAGAATTCATTAGCGCCATACTTAATACAAAATGTCAGCTTAGAACACATATATGTTCCTAACTAATAAGTTTTACTATTGCCAAAGAAGTAACCATTACAAACTTTAGGTGCTGGAAATGTAAAAATTCATCCCCTGCAACAATTATCAAACCAACAAAAACAAAAAAAGCCCCAAACCAATAACAAAAGACCATTAAAAGCTGATGGAAAAAAATTTCTCTAGTGCTTGCATAGGGATTTTACAGATCCCAAGGTGGAATGGCAGAAATACACACACACACACACACACACACACACACACTCTCTCACTCACTCACTTACACAGTATTGTTATTTAATATGCGGAGGATCACTGATTTAAGGTTACTCAAGTTCAGAAATATAAATCCCCACAGCTGCTCTGTCTCTGCCACTGATGCTATTACGCCAAATGAATGTTGGGATCCCTTGAGCCCTTCCTCCTTCATTGCCATTTCATCTCTTGCACATCCCTATCTTATGGCTGGATACACTGAGGTTCTCTCTTACATTGCCTTGCTCCTTTCTTGCTAGAGCCTTCTCCCACATACCAGAAGAAATGCACAGCAGTCTGGGCCACCATCAAGCTCCACTTAACCCCTGTCAGGATGCTAGAGCTTCAATGTCTCAGGGTCTGGTGCTAAAAACCCATAGGTGCTCAAGCTCTGAAAACCAAGGACTCAAATCTAGGACAACTGTTTGTGTTATTTTAGTTATAATTTAAATAAATAAGTTTTTTGTGGGTTTGTTGGGGCTGTGGATAGTTTTAACAGTGCTTCTTTTGGAAAATATATTCTCAATTCCACAAAGTCAACTTCTAAATGTACTTCACAGTACATTTAAAATTGAGTATAGTCCTCAAAAAGTTAGATAGAGAATTACCATGATTTATTGATTCCAATTCTAGGTATATAACCCAAAGAAGTAAAAACAGAGATTCAAAGAGATGCTTGTACACAAATGTTGATAGGTAACCAGGAAGTGAAAATCCAAATGTCTCTCAATGGATGAATAAATACATAAAATGTGATATATTATTTAACCATTAAAAGGAATAAATTGGTGGTACATGTTACAACATGGATGAGCCTTGAAATCATATTAAGTGAAAGAAGCCAGACACATAAGGACTACTACTGTTAGATTCCACTTACGAATTTCTGCTTAGGGTGAGGAAAAGCTCTGGAAATAGTGGTGGTGATTGTGCAACATTATGCATGTACGAAGTGCTACTGAACTGTATACTTTAAAATGTAAAATTTATGATATGTGAATTTCAAATCAATAAAAAAATTGTATATAGTTAGCATCTACAAGTATATAAAAAGTATAGTAGATAAAGTACATTTGTTCTGTAAAGAAGATATGGAAGGAAAGAGGATTGATTAGGAGCTAGAAAACCTAAAAACCTGGGCTCAAGCCCTAATTCAAACATTACTAATTAGTCCATCTTAAATGAGTCATTTCCCCCATCTGAGCTTCAGTTTCCTTATGAAAATAATATGGATACTATCTGCTCTATTTAATTATAAGACTGAGATTCAGAAAGTACATAGACAACTGTAACATACCAGAGAAAAGGTATTAACTACTATAATAAATGAAAAGTTGGAACTATTAAACCCCTCCCCGCAAAGAAAAGGATGAATATATGCTTTCTCTTTCTAATGTCTTATTTCTTACTTTAGATACTAGGTAGGATTTAGGCACATATTAGGAAACCGTTCTGAGGGCTGGAAGAGGTTCAAGACAGTCCAGGTGATTCTTGGAGCACATCAGGGTGGGGAACCAGGTCAATTTTAGTCTGAATCTATAGTAGTGAACCCAGGCTAGATCAGATTTTGTTCTGCAAAGTAAGAAATATAAAGCCCTGCAAGGGTTCTAGAATCAATCTGTACTCCATAACTTTTAGATTATAAATGATCTGGAGTTAGAAGAGAACCACTTCAAAGCTTCACTAGTAATATGTGGAATGGGAAGGAGAACTTGAGTCTCTTTTGGTTAGAAGCCTCAATAAATCAGGCTTCAAGTGTGAATGAAGAAAAGGAAACAATTTCTAGCTGCACAAGGCTTCCTATATAGTAACATCTATTTTACCCACTACAAAAAGGAAAGATGGTTCACTTGAAAGAATTTACTTAAAAAAATTAGTCTCCTTAAAATATTTAATGACAATAATTTTAAAATATATTACAGAAATTATACTACCTAATTTACATTTTTATATAGTTAACACAACTAATATTTTCAACATCCCTTAAAAATTAGAGGAAAAATGCAAATGTGAAATAATACATTGGTTTATGGGATATCTGTTGAATACAAACAAATGTGTATTTATAAGATCAAGCATACAGGTAATTTGTTAGGGCAATGGTAAATGTGTTCTGGGTAATGTGGTGTAGAAGGAAGGATTCTGCATGATAGGATCCTTCATGAATTGAATTCTAGTCCAAGATTGGCCACTTACTCATCTATATGATGTTGAGCTTTTCCTGTGCCTCTGTCTCCTCTGTACAATGAGAGGATTAGCAGTAGTTTCCAAAAAATTTTTTTAAGTTTTTTTTGGCTTTAAAATTTAAGCAGTAGAACCTTTTATTACGTTTTTAAAATATATTTTTATTGATTTCAGAGAGGCAGGGAGAGGGAGAGATAGAAACATCAATGATGAGAGAGAATCACTGATTGGCTGTCTCCTGCATGCTCCCCACTGGGAATCATGTGCGCAACCCAGACATGTGCCCAATCGAACCATAGGTCGACGCTCAACCACTGAGCCATGCCAGCCAGACAGAACCTTTTCTTTAAATGAACTCTTCCAAGAAGACTGCTATTTCAAATAAATAAAGTCAGAGCTATTCTGTTTGAAGTAAGGTAAGAAACCCAGAAGCCTGTCTGCTTTCTGCTGCCTTATTGTCTTGGCAGCCCCCAGGTGCCTCTGAAGAAGCTTTAGGGCTCCACCGAACACACGTGAAACCCAATGGGCCGGATAAAGCCAAAGGTCTCTTTCTGTTCTAGTATGTGCTGATTTCACGAGTGTAGACATTTTCAAAGGTCCCATCTAACTTTTTTGGAGGAGTTCTTTAATTGTAAATATATTCTTAGCAAATAGAGAAGAAAAATTTCAGGAAAGTTTTCCAATCCTATTACTACAAATTGATGAATTTACTACTTTATTAATCTATTTTAACACTGCCATTAAATCAATTAATTTGATTAAAGGAATAGATTTTCTACTTTTATATTTTGACATTTTTTCTAATTGGTATGATTTGAATTTATTTCTTATTTTTACCCCTATGTAGGAATAGCATTTTAGAGAAATATGTGTATGTAAACACACATACTGTTTTTCCCCCCAATAGCTTATTGTGCACTTAGATCTATTCAATCACTACTGGCAATCAGCACCAAATGCCAATCTACCCTCTGGTTAGGAGCTAACTTGCTGCTCTAACCCATTTGTATAAACCTTCCCATATACCTTAATCCTTCCAAATGCAACTGTGACACAAAGTATTACAGACTTTTAAAAACCTGTTCTCTTGAAAAAAAAAATATTGTGGAGCATCAGTAACCAGATAGTATTCTCAAATTTCAGTGATCTAGCCCATGGAGCCATCCCCTATGCACAGTGCTCTGTTTCATGCAGTACATGGCTTTAGCTGCCCAAATCTTTTTTTTCCCCCAATGAATCAGTAGAACAGTGAAGATCTTACTTTTTTTTTTTTTTAAAGCAGTGGCATATCAATGAGGCACAGATGTGTATTCCAACTCTGCATGGATGAGCACACTGTTCAATAGTGCTGGCTCACACGGTATCAGGGCGAGTTATCACTTCCCATGAAGGCACTCTTATCACCAGGACCCAGAGAGGTGGCTGCAAATCGCAGCCTTTTTATTTTCAAGGCAGTTCTGCTGAACATTCAGGCTTCAAAGATTCACACTTCCAAAACTCTATAAGAGTTTGTGAACGCTCAATTTGCCAAAACTGTTTACAGTGTAATTGGGCACCGTACCTGTGTCCATGAGATAGCGGAGGCGCTTCTCCACCAGCGCGGCACGGGTGTCAATTTGCTTTTGCTCATTCTCTAGTGCTGCCAATTCTCCTACAACATATTGACTGGTGTCTTTGAACCCTTTCTGTTAACGAGAACAAACAGGAAGGAAAAATAAAATCACTTGTAAGTTGCATTTTTCCTTTCTACAAACACTTAGTAAAGCACTTACCTAGAGAACCAAATACCCTTACTATCACCCTTAGTACCAAAAAGCAACTCCCTGTGATTCAAAGAATTTTCATGTTTAGGAAAACTTTTCTGAATAGAGAAAATCTCAACCATTTAGTAATATATTTATAATTTAATACCCAGATTTGCCAGATTTAAAGAGTTAACACTAAATTAGAAAAAATTCTCCTCACAGTTGAGTCAGTTATTTAAGCATGAACGAGGACAGAAGACAATTTTCCCCATGGTGAGTGCCAAAACAAACACCAATGACACCTTTAATTCAAAACCGTAATATACAAAACTGGAGTTTTACTAAAGAATTGTTTCTTAAAGCATCTGTCCTGAAAAAATCAGGCAGATTTGTTCTTACAAAAAATATAAAATTAAAGAGAGGTTTCTTATTTTCATAATGGGTATACTATTTAAAATGCTCTTAAAAATGATAAAAACAGAAGTTTCGTTTCTAATATCTCCAGTCTTCCCTCCAGCTGGCTCCTGTACTTTAACATGTCATTCTGTTGACGTATTACTAATTATTGTAGCTGTGAATTCTAACGTGACAGGTGGTTTCAAACCTTGCTACATAGGATCTAATGAAACTAGTATGCAGATTTGGTTTACTTTCCATTTGATTAAATTTGAAATTTTACTTTTTACAACCATCATGTTAAAAAATATTATCCTTAGAAGTTTTATTTGAAGCAGCAGTTCTATTATAAAGTACCAGTATAGTATATTCTTATTTTCATATTGTAAATTTAAATAATTAAGGACAGGAAAGTTACAAATGGATTCATTATAGCTCCCTTTGGATTTGGAATACCTGTTTACCTTGGGGCATTTTTAAGGCTATGTTTCCTGGGTAGCTGAGAAATACTGAAGAACTGCTTAAGTGATTACTCTCAGCACCATCACTACTACCACCAGCACTTACAACATTATTTATTCAGAGAAATGAATGCGAACAATCCTCTGTTGTCAAATCCCTTCCCTACTTAGAAGCATATTAATCTCTAAGAAGCCATGAGGAATTATCCTTCGGTACTCCTTAAATAAGAAACAAATATCAAGAAATGTTATTTATGAGCATATTTTAGAATTCTCAAGTTCAATAAACATGTCTAGCCATACGTATAACTTACATATCTTTAGAAGTTCTAAATAATGTGTACTCACGTGTTAACTCAATTTATACCACCTTACTGTTAAATTGATTATGGTAGTTGACAAAGTTGAAATATCTTAAAATATTAAATTATAAAACTGACAATTTCTCTGGATAGTGTAATCAAATAAGTCACTGTATTTTTAAAAAGATTCACACTAAAGAGATATCATTCTTTCTCAATATGAAATATAACAGAAAAAATTATAACAGAAGAAATGCTAATGGTAACTTCAAAATCCGGAATAATCTGGTGAATGGTTTTTGTACCTATCTTTCAGACAGCAGAGCATTTTCAAAATCAACTTTTCTCATTCCATCCAGAGGGTCAAAACACACATAGTGCTTTGCAAAGATATAAGAAAGCAGAAGTGATAAGCAACACATAAAACTTCATTGCTTTTTACTGATTAATTCAGTTAAAAACAGTTTATAATCAGATTTATTTAGTGTGAGTATATAGTATCCTCACATATTCTGTAACTTAAAAAATTATACTGAATATTTCATCAGGATATTCCAGTGAGCTGTTCTATGTACTAGGTTCTTAGTACCACAGATTAAATATAAGAAGTTCTTTAGGGCCCTAAAATGTAGTTGGTAATTCTGGGTACACTTGTAAGTATTTTAAAAACCAACAAAGACTATTTTAATAGTAAAATCAATAAAAATATTTACACATAAAAAAGTAGCACCATTAAAGAGAGCTATGCTTCCAGACAAAAATTCAAGTTAAAACTTGTTCTTCCTGCTTCTGTCCCAAAGCTGTCCATCAAAAGCAGCTTTCTCCCTGCGGTCTATCAAATATTTCCCTCACAAATCAATTTTACACATGATCAGCCCATACCCCTACTGAGCTGAACCTCCCTGTTAATTAAGTGAAGAAATTACCATATATATTATATTAATGCAAACATCATTCAGCTAGTAATTCACGGCTGATCTGGATAATGGAAAGGTTGAACACCCATTAACCCAAGCCAACAAAATGGGTTGGCTGAGAAATTCTAGCAGGTCTCATGTGACTTTTCCCTCTAACTGCAGCTCTGCGGTATCTGCTATTGTAATAATTAAAATCCTCCCGGTAGATCAATACTGGAATCTCTTTGTGGGAAGTGCCCTGATGGAAATGTCTCAAGGAAGCTGGGGCTGTGGAACTCTGAAAAATTCATTTTTTTTTATCTGACAATTATCACCACACTGCAGACTAATTCAACAGTGCACCCCTCTCACTCTGCTTTGAATGCACTGGAGATTGACATCTTAAAAAACCTAACATCTCATTTTAACAAATAAAGGCACTATTTCCACATACAGTTTGGAATTATCAGCAATCATGAAACCACACAAAAAATTAATATACATTAAGCACTTCATCTTCTGATGGCTTCCTCTGAGTTTCAGTTATCGCTGCCTTCTCCTCATTTCCTTTCTTTGTATCTTCCTGTATTGATCTCTGTCTTTTTATATCTTAAAAAAAAGTAAAGACATGTTAAATTATTATAAAGCTTGATATTTGTGTATTGAAATGTGAATTTACAGTATCAGCTTTTTAACATATATGTATATACAGCTAAATAATGTTAAATCATAAGATGGGAAAACATTAAAAAAAGTGTACCTACCTGGTCTATTCTCAACATATTGACTGAAAGACTGAAGTTGAGTTTTTCTGACTGTAGAATCCTTGCTGAACACAACAGGATTTCTAAATCTTTCTGTCGCTTTTTGTAATCGTTCAGCCTGGAGATCTTCTGTGCCATTCTAAAAGTAAAACAAACACAATAAGAGAGTCCCGATATTATAAACATGAAATTGCCTATCAGTAAAACAATATTTACTGATTTAAGATAATGCCAATTTAGAAACTTTTTGAAAGAAAAAGTATTTTAAAGAGCTCTAAATAACTCAACTGCAAGTTCTGTTACCTGTAACCAAAAGCTTACAGGAGACCTGGTTTAAATAGAGGCTCACTCTTGCTAATTTGATTCATCAGACACTGTGAACCCCTGTGTTTCCTCCAGATGATATGTATCATTTAAAGGCCATGTTGCCTCTGTCTATTCCCCCCACTATTCTGGCCCATTGGTTTGTACAGCCCCACAGACTTGTATGACAAGAAGAGCTAGTTTCTAATTTTATGCCCATTGAGATAAACTATTAATGCTGGATGAAGGCTAAAAGGTAGGATTTTAATACTACCTCACTGAACTGCATTCATCAGCTATAACTTTCCAAAGCCAGATTTGTAAGTAAGCCCTTTGCAGCTAAGGAAACTACAATTATCTTTTCTAGAGCTTCCTATGTTAATACTGGCAACAAATTCAAATGGTTCTATCAACAAGAAATATCCCAGAAGACTGAACCACCGCAATGTGTGGAAGCTGCAGATATCGAGGTGCTGTGTACCAAACAAATATTTCATTTTATACCTAATCTTTTATTATTTTTATTAAGTGTTTTGAAAGTAAATAGGGAAAGGCTAAGATGCATGACTAATAGCTAAGCCTGCTGAATGCTGAAACTGGTTATCAAAAGCTACCAAGACTTTGCCCTTCCTCTGCATTGAGACAATCGGTAATGAGGGAGTCCTCCAATGGCCTATTCTCTAGCCTCAAGGAGGCCTGGGATACAGAATCCTCAAGGGAAGGTAACAGTTTATCCTTTTCCACAAACACAGAATGCCTCATTTATAAACGTGTAAACTGCATTTTATTAAAAAAAATAAAACCCCAAATCAATGCTGAAAGCTTTGAGAGAACAGATGGACTGTATATGTTCTTTATAAGCACCATTTAAAAAAAATCTTAACTAAAAAGATCCATACAAAGACAAGCTGTTTAAAGCACACCTTTTATTGGAATAACTTTAAAGACTACTATACAAGAGTTTATTGGAAAGCAAAATCTATTTAATCTGTTTAAATAATTAAGGCTTAATAATAAAAATACTTCTATTTTTTAAAGTCATATATTTATTAATATCATGCTAGCTAGGTTTGTTTGTTTAGAACAGTGTGGAGGGAATGAGAAAAAAGAAAAAATAAAGAAAGAAAAACTCATGGACACGGATAACAGTGTGGTGATTGCCGGGGAGAGGGTGAGTGGGGAGGTAGAAGAGCTTATAGGGGAGATAAATGGTGATGGAAGGAGACTTGACTTAGGGTAGTGAATACACAATACACTGTACAGATGATATGTGGTGGAATTATGCACCTGCAACCTGTATAATTTTGTTAACCACTGTCACCCCAATAAATGCAATAAAAAGGAAAAACAAGTATGTATTCAATTGTTATTATAATAACTGCTCAGAAGTCTAAAACTCAAGTCTTTACCAAAATAAATAAACATGGCTAATAGCAACATGCTAAAATATCAGTGCGATTAGCCAGCAAATCCCATCTTAAGAAACCTTTTTATGACTGGGGACTTCTGCCACTTTACAAATGTATTCCTCTAAACCCACTAATTCAGTTAGCCTTTTCAATCCATTGTATTATTCTTAGGCCAGCTTCATTCTGCATTAAGTCCACTGCGGAAAGCTAAATTGAACGCAAAAAAAATCAGACCTGATCCAGGCTTCCTTTTGTTCAAAGATAGAGACCAAAAGTCCTCTGGTGCTGCCACACACTTTCATCACCAATTTATAGAAACCGACAGTATAAGGAAAAAGCAATGAAAGTCATTGTTTTGGGACTTCAAAGCATCTCTGTGTCAGGGAAAGGAAATCCTTTCAGTCAGCAGGGCAGTCCCCAAAGTCCGCAGGTGGGTGAAAAATTATACAGGACTAGAAGTACCCTAAAGCTTGAAAAATATTAATGATACAGTACAAAAGGGGGGGGGAGGGCTTGAATGGAGTAACAGATAATAATAATAATAATAATAATAATAATAATAAAATTATTATAATGTGGCATTTTGGCTGAAATCCTAAAAAAGGTAAAATTTGTATGGATACAAAACATGCAAGTTTATAAAAATTTATATTCTATCACACACCATATTCAGGTATTAACTGACATGAGTTTTAGTTTATCTAAACAAGTCAAAGGTTGAGGATTATATAAAAATATGCTAGAATTCTCTTAGCAATATTCTTCTTAGAAAAATAGAAATACATATAAAAGTCAAGAATAGTTTCTACTTTTACCAGCATCAAAGAGTAGTTTTCTCTGAAAATAGTAGGTAAATACTGATTACCATATTGGTATTTAATTTATTGGCTATTTAATAAAAATTTGTGTATCTTAATCTTAATGTGAATAATTGGTAAGAAATTGATTTTAGGATTATAAAATGCTAGAATACACAGATACCTAATCAAATATTTTAAGCAAGTAAGATTTACCTTAATGTCTTGCTCTGAGCTCTCGGTTATAACTTTCTGAGAAGCACTGGAGAGTGAATTTGCCACCTGTGGCTGAACTTCTAGGAGCTTCTTCAGCTTCAAGTCCACCAACTTAGTCTTTTGTTCTGTTAAATATGCAAACACTATGAATTACTAAGTAAGATGCATTTAGATGTATAGGCTATCAATTTAGGGCACACCATAAAAATATTACTGTATTTTAAAAAAGGACATTAGGATTGTATAATAGCACATCAATCTAGACATATACAGAATTCTTATCATATATATGTGTAACTACATACTATAACTATAGTATAATTGAGTAGTCAATAGGTATGTTGACTATAATCATTTTTAATTGACATATAATTGACATATAACACTGTGTAAGTTTAAGATGTACAATGTGTTGACTTGATGAATTTATATATTACAATATGATTACCACCCCAGCATTAGTTAACACCTATTATCATATCACATAATTATCATTTATTTTTTGTGGTAGGAACAATTAAAATTTAGTCTCTTAGCATATATTGTTAGTGTATGTATAAACATATATATTTCCCCCCCAAAATCAGTCCCTTTAAAGAACATAGTCAATATACCTAAAGATAATTCAGTTATACTATAGTTAATAGTAGCTATGCTTTTCTGAAAACCTAAGCCTATATTTGATGTATATATTTATATGAGTAGGTTAGATATAATAAAACAAGCCATTTTAAAATAGATTTTTAAAGGTGATTCATTTGATTCTAAGTTACATTTTAGAGTTTCAAATTCTTCTAGTATATTAAATTTATACATATGCTACCACATTAAAATAAGTCCTTAACATGATCTCAGACAGTCATGTGAACACTGTTCGAACCCAATGTTTATCTGCATATATATAGCATTGAAACAGGGTATATGCTTACAAATACCTTCTAATGGGAGGGCAGAAATACAATAAAGATGATAAAAATTTAAAATGTATTAAATATGGATAGAAATTTAAAATAAACAAAAATATGGCTATAACTTTAAAATTAACCATTTCAAATTATTTTTAGCAAGTACAATAATTTTTAATAATGTAATAGAAACAAATGGAATAAAATAATTCTACTTAAATTCACTCAAAGCAACTATTTAATAAAATACTTGGAAAAGATATGTCAACCATTTGGTAAAAGATATTTTTCATAAAGATTAATAAGTTTTCTAATTATAAGACTCTTAATAAATGCTATTATCATTACTCTCATGCAAATTGGTTAGTTTATATTACCAGGCTTCTCTTTTAAACAATATCTGATGAACTATGGTCAAATCAAGATAAAGATTAAACAATTTATTATTAAAACATTATTAAAAAAAGAATTTTGGGGAAAATAAAGCAAGGATAAAAATCATAATGTATGCCTCCAGATTCCAGTCTGCATTCCTATTTCTTATTGCCTTGAAATAAACCATAGCCTGATTTGGAAAGTTTGTCCTATGCACATGCCAACACTTTTTGGCATTCTTGAGAGTTGTAAACAATGTATTAGCTAACTTCACAAACAGGAAGGCTGAGATGGGTTTTCTTTTTTGGCATAAAGTAGGAAGAGAGTTTTTAAAAAGGACAAGAGTTAAGCCTATTAGGCCTAATGTTAGCCAAACTTTAAGTGTCCCACAAAGTTGTTATAACTAAACTAGAAAATTCCCTTCACATTACCTAAGCAATAGCTAATTTTTCCTGTCTTCATACTCAATTGTAAAATGAGGAAATATGCATCCCTTATTGTCATTGGTTCTATACTTCAATATAGAACTTAATATAAAGGGTTCAATTCTGTACTTATGGGTATCCTCAGCAGGAAAGGGTCATTGCTGATTTCTGATAAAGCTTCTGGTGATGGTTGTGGTGAGAGGCTGGGTAAGTGGCAACAAAAATCTTGTTCATAAAGAAAAATCAAATTTGCCTAAGTTCTACAGTATTTTAAATAGAAAGAAATGAAAGATAGTCCTAATTTTGGAATAAACATTTAAAATTTTTCCTTAAATATCAACATTTTCCTGGACTTCCACAATTATACACAACCTCTACCTGGTAGCAGTGATGGCGAACCTTTTGAGCTTGGCGTGTCAGCATTTTGAAAAACCCTAACTTAACTCTGGTGCCGTGTCACATATAGAAATTTCTTGATATTTGCAACCATAGTAAAACAAAGATTTATATTTTTGATATTTATTTTATATATTTAAATGCCATTTAACAAAGAAAAATCAACCAAAAAAATGAGTTCGCGTGTCACCTCTGACATGCGTGTCATAGGTTCGCCATCACTGTGGTAGAGTATAATTCAATACTACACCATGAAGGAGTTACTGACAAAAGAGCAGTAACTTTTATTAGGTGCTCTGTATAGATAAGAAGACCTTGGTTGATTGTTTCTGGAGAAATAACAGAATGATTTCAAACAGAGGAAAAAAACAAAGCAGGTTAGTATTTCAGAGGCATGTCAGTGCTAAGAGACCTGCTCTTACTCCCTTTAGCTTTTTATAGGGAAAGATAAATATTAAGGACTTCAATTCCTTACCTTTAAATCTGGAAAATAACTAAGACTTTTTATTGCTATAAGAATTCAATTCAATAAGCATTTATGGAACCCCTCTGGTATATAAAACTTTGTATAGCTATCTGCTGTTGACTTACATGAACCACTCATCTATTAAACCACAGTATGTTTATATTTAAAAAATAACTTAAAAGGTTAATTACCAATGTGATTATTGGTATAATATTTATTGATATAAGACATGTGATTAATTCAACAGCAGTTTATATAAGCAGTTTTCAAATAAAGTGTCTTATTGTAATTAAGTATGCATAAATTAATTAGTAGTAATATTTAAAATAAAAAAGAAACTAAAAAAGAGAATAAAACACAAAATCTGCAATATAATATTACAATTAAGATAGTCAATTCTAACCAAGTCAGAAAATCTGATTTACATTTGAAGTATTCCATAGGTACTACATCTATACCTTACAACATTATACCGAAATATTTAGGCTAAGAAGGGAACCAATTATTGAATGCCTACAAATTATATCATATAACATAAAATACAAAAGTGAATCTCAGTCCTGGCTGGGTAGCTCAGTTGGTTACAGCATCATCCCAATACACCAAGGTTGTGGGTTCAATCTCTGGTCAGGGCACGTACAAGAAGCAACCAACGAATGCATGGATGGGTGGACAATAAATTGATGTTTCTCTCTCTCTCTTTCTCTCAAATTAATCAATAAATCTTTTTTTTTTACATATAAAAAAGTGAACCTTAGTAAGAAGAGAACACAAGCTACAATTTGCTATTCCAATTTTATTGCTAATTTTAACTAAACCTAAAACAAAATAATTACAAAATTGATGAAAGGTGGATTTAGTGAAATGATTTGTGAAGACATAAGATGTAATAAAACTACAAAAAAATTATTATCACAATTAATGAGATAATAATAAAAATATAATGATAAAGTTTGCCATGCAGCAGGACACAAAGTATTTATAATTTGAAATTACCGGGAATATCAAGGTCATTTTCTAAGTTAGTAAGTTCATCTCCATCTCCTACAACAAAGCCTTCAGGAATCTCCTCGTTAGTATCTATCTCAATATTATCATTTTCATCTGTAGGCACATGTAGCAATAATGTTAGTATATTGTATATTATTTGTTTTATATTGTTTGTCCAAAACACTAAAGAAGAAAAAAACAGTATTTTAATTAGTTATTCAAATTCAAGTCTGACACAGATCAGCAAGTTTAAAAAATCAGTTTTAAGTCACTCTTTCACTATTGGATTAACATTTATATTTTAAATTCATATGTCAAAGATGAACTGTCACATCAAAGCAGATGCAAAGGTTTTGACAATTTGCCACACACTGTCTCTGAATCACTGAGCTCACTGAGTTGCTATATTTTAAAAAGTACTCTATTAGTGATCACTAATAATGGCATACAAAAATAAATTGGTTTGGTAACAAAGTCATCAAATAATATTTCTATGTTTCACATTTTTATCATTGATTAGATATAAGTGGTAAAGACACAAGTAATTCTTTAAAAATTTGTAGCTATATTTAAATCATTTGTATGAAAATGAATGCTTTGGTGCTTTTAATGAAATACTCGAGGCCCGATGCATGAAATTGGTGCAAGAGTAGGCCTTCCTTCCCTGGCTGCCGGTACCAGCTTCCCTCTGGCACCCAGGACCCGGGCTTCCCTCGAAGACCCAGCTTCATCCGGAAGGTCATCTGGTCTAATTAGTATATTATGCTTTTATTATTATAGATTATCATAAAAGCATTACAGATAAATTAAAAGACAAAATTAAGACTAGAATAGACAGTACCTTTATGCAAAAGAAAGTTCAGAAACAACACAGTACATCTTGGAAGAATTAATACTGGAAAAAACTGTTATTATTCAAAAGTAAATACATCAATAGTGTGGTGAAGGCCTGACATAGGGCAGGGGCTGGGAGGAGGGGGCAAAGGTTGGGAAAATGGGGGACATCTGTAATACTGTCAAGAATAAAGTATATTACACACACACACACACACACACATACACACACACATATGTATAGTTAAATACATAAAATAAGAAAGTCTTACATGATTTTTTTTACACAGTAAACTGTTTTAGATCACAATTTATTGAGTCTTTTTTTTACATTAAAGATTTCTATTGTATGTTTTTTCCTTTCTAAGTCCTAGTAATAAAAATTGGTTAAGTAATTTTGATATTTATACATTTAAAAAGGCATAGCAATGATCTGATTTGCATATTAGGAGTAAAATTTAAATTCTGATATTGACAGGCAGTGTAACCTTTTGGAGAAATATCTGCCTAGCCCCAGGAGTTAAAGAATATCTCTACTACTCTACAGCTTATTTTTAATCGGGCAGCATTAATAATAGTTTACATTTACTGAAGACTTCCCATGTACTGTATAAGCTGTTCAGAAGAACACAACAAAGAAAAAAAGATTGAGAAATGCCTCCAGGGAAAAACATTGCTAAATGTTTATAGGACCCTATGGCATTATATTTGGGTATATTATTTAAGTACAATCAACTATGCTTAGCACAACTATTTGATTACTTTCGTAAAATTCAACATCTTCATCTTCATTATCCTCAAAGATTCTTCTCTAAAAAATTTTATAGTAAACATAAATAAATATTTCTAAATGCTAAATAATTGTTCAGAACACTTCCTCGTATTACTGCGTCAGAAATAGTTTACTATCAATAGTTTTTAGAGTGGAGTACTTTGTTGTTGCCAACTAGTCTCTATTTATTATTACTGACCATAATTAATCTAGAAAGCATAAAATGCAACATTCATTCATTTATTTAAGAACTTCCACTATATACCACATCTGCAATTTATAACACACTGCTGGATGTTGAGGAGATACCAAGTTGTATTCCATTCAGGTGACTACAATACTACGTAGGAGAGATAAGTGTTATGGAATAAAAATTAGGTGCAGAGCAAATTCTAAAGATGAAAAGATTATCCTTTGCCAATAGTAGTAGGAATTGTTTCGTGTGAGCACTAACCTTTAAATTGGGTCTTAAGAAATGTACAGGACTTTAAAAACATAAAATATAGAAGAGGTAAGTTTTTTAAAATGAACACATCTTTTTTTTTATTTATTCTTTTTTTTAAAAAAAATATTATAATAAGTATTACAAAGAATGAACACATCTTGAACTGTGTTTTATGCAACAACCAAAATCCCTGCTGGTGTGGATAATAAATGGTATGATTTGTATCTTTAAAAAAAAAAAAGGTACAATTGAGAAAAGGGCACAAAGACAGCAGGAATGGGTAGGTTATGTTCAAAGAATGGTGTATAAAACAATTAGAAATATAAGCACTGAGGCTTATGTCTTATAAAAATTAGAGTAGTGTCATTACTATTTCTATCATATCACTCTTGCTTACAATCTGATATGCCTTCTTATGTGAAGTAAAAAGTGGTCTAGAAACTGCATTTGGGTATATAATCCATGTGATAGCCTTCATGCAAGATGGCTGACCTACATGTTAGACTGGAGTACAGAAAGGCTAGAGGCAGAAAATCCAGGGTATATCCTCCAGGCAAGCATTATGGAGAGCCTAACCTACAATACAATAATTGGGAAGTGAGATGACATCATTTAGCGGAGGGATACTGAGGACAGGAAGGCTAAGGCACATGTCAATATTGACTCTCCAGTCTGAATGGCTAAAAATATAGCATTACTATGAAAATAGTTAAATCTGGAAATGTGGTCAGATATGGGTACTTGCAGGTTCTGGAAATATGTAGAAAATCACACCTCTTTTCATTACCTGCTTATAGAGTGCCGGGTTCCTGTTTGATGTTAAATAGATACCATTCATTCATTTTATTTCCCAGCTAAATGAAATCTGTGTCTACACTACCACTCACCAGTAATGCTGAGTGGGTTACTTAATATTTATATTATGTACTAGAGGCCCAGTGCACAAAAATTTGTGCACCCGGGGAGGTCCCTCAGCCTGGCCTATGCCCTCTTGCAATCTGGGACCCCTCGGAGGATGTCCACCTGCTGGATTAGGCCCACTCCCTGGGGGACCGGGCCCAAGCTGGCAGTCTGACATCCCTCTGGCAGCCCAGCAGCCCTCAGGGGATGTCCACTTGCTAGTGGGGAGCAGGCCTAAGCTGCAGTTGGACATCCTTAGCGCTGCTGAGGAGGCGGGAGAGGCTCCCACCACCACCACCGCTGTGCTGGCAGCCGTCAGCCTGGCTTGTGGCTGAGCAGAGCTCCCCCTGTGGGAGCACACTGACCACCAGGGGGCAGCTCCTGCATTGAGCGTCTGCCCCCTGGTGGTCAGTGTGTGTCATAGTGACCAGTCATTCCCAGTCGTTCTGCTGTTAGGGTCAATTTGCATATTACCCTTTTATTATATAGGATAGAGGCCTGGTGCATGGGTGGGGGCCGGCTGGTTTACCCTGAAGGGTGTCCCGGATCAGGGTAGGGGTCCCCACTGGGGTGCCTGGCCAGCCTGGGTGAGAGGCTGATCGCTGTTTGCAGGCTGGTCAAGCCCCCCCCCCCCAGTGGGGACCCTCACCCCATGGAGGTTTGGCCAGCCTGGGTGAGGGGCTGATGGCTGTTTTCAGACTGGCCACACCCTCTTTAGAGTTGGGGGTCCACTGGGGTGCCTGGCCAGTCTGGGTGAGGGGCTGAGAGCCGTTTACAGGCTGGCCAAGCCCCCCGGCAACGGAAGCTCCCAGCCTCTCCTTTTTTTTCTTTTTCATTCTGGGATTTATTTACCTTCAATAATTGAAACTTTGTAGCCTTGAGAGGAGCTCAGAGCTGGCCAGGGCAGGCAGGAGGGAAGCCTCCTGCTCACTCCAGCTCCGTGGCCACAGCCGGCTGAAAGTAGGTATCTGGGGTTTATTTATCTTCTATAATTGAAACTTTGTTGCTTTGAGTGGAGCTTAGAGCTGCCGCGGCAGGCGGGAAGCTTGGCTCCCTCCATCATTGGGGCAACCAAGCCTCCTGCTTGCTCCAGCTCTGTGGCTGCCGGCCGCCATCTTGGTTGGGTTAATTTCCATATAGTCGCTCTGATTGGCTGGTGAGCATGGCTTAAGGTGTAGCGAAGGTACAGTCAATTTGCATGTTTGTCTTTTATTAGTGTAGATTGCTAACCTTAGATAAAAGGATTACTATTTGGGAGGGTAAAAGTAAAAATTGATTTCCTATAAAGCTCAGGTCTTCTTAAGAATGGATTTCCATGTTCTTTCCATTCGCTGACTTCAATTTTACAATGACCCCTGGAATTCTTTTCAACAGTAATGTTACACATTTCTTAACACCTGTGGAAATATTCTAAATGCATTTTAGCAGAATTAAAATGCACATGTATCTGTGTGTGTTTAAGACACTACATATTATATATATATATGTGTGTGTGTGTGTGTGTGTGTATATATATATATATATATATACACACACACACATATACATATATATGATCTGTCTATACTTACACATATATCTCTACCAATCTATATATATAAAAGGCTAATATGCAAAGTGTCCCCTCGGGAGTTCTACCCGGAGACTGGGAGTTCGATTGCTCGCCATGACATGTGCTGATCACCAGGGGGAGGCGCGGAATGAAGGAAGGCCCTGGCCGGTAGCCAGGGAAGGGAGGCCCTGGCTGGCAGCCAGCAGCTGGAAGGAATGCCTTTGCTGACAGCCGGAAGGCCCCGATTTTGTGCACCGGGCCTCTAGTATTGATGTTTATCTATCTACCTTTATGGCTAACCCCTGGAAACCCAAAAGATGAGCATAGCAGAAAGTAAATTAGAGATCCATTACACAACAGAAGCTGATTTGCAACTATGACATGTATAATGTAGCAGGACAAGGTAAGAGGAGATTGGATATGCACCAGAATGAAATAATGCATTCCAGTTGACATTGCACAGCAATAAGGACAGTCTTCTAACACCTATTGTTTATAAATAAATTAAATGAAAAACTAGGAAATCTTATGATAGTAAAAAGAAGAATATTTGAACTTTTAAAAAAGATACTGAGTGTATCATTAAAAACATTAAAAAATTTCTCATTTCTATCATAATTTTTAAATTCTCCAGCCCCTATAAAATTCATAACTTTCAAAGAAATGAAAAATAAAAACATAATACAAATATTAACAGAAGCTGAAAATAAAAATCACTGAAGTCTGATAAGATTTTATTTGGTTCAACAATTATATACACCTCCAAATACCTATGGACTATTAACCAAAACTTAACATTTATTTGGCCAAAATAAAAACTTATTAACTCTCAAAGCAGAAATTCAGGCCATAGTCTCTGATCACAATACCACTAAACTAAAAATGAAAATACCAAACTTAGTCCCCAATCACCTGTACCTTGCCAAATAAGATCAATGCAATAAAATGAACCCACAAGTTTGTTACATAGAGTGAGAATTTTAAGATGAGGCTGTTATAGGTCTATAACTACAAAATGATGCAGAAATTGAAAAAACATGTAAATACCACAATAGCACTTGATCCTCTCATAAATCCTAAAATTGTCAAAAGGAGGAAAAGTAAAAGTTAGACTGTAGCTCCTTGGACAGGTATGATTCTGTTAATTGAAAAGAGGCTATTTCTGCTTGCAATAGGATGCAAGTGGGTTGCTTGAATCCATGGCTATACATGACCTGAAATACCTTGCATATATTCTTTGTGGACACCATGAAGGTGAAGTCACCTCATCTTAAAAGTAAGTTTCCTTTCTTCAGAGCCTGGTTGCTCCTTGAGAACAGTGCAGGCAATGAGTCTGAGTAACAGTCAAGTTCCACCCCTTCCCCAGGCTCTGCTTTCACCTATTATCTCAGTTCTTGACTACTCCCTTTTTTACTCTGGACCACTGCTTCCAAAATCCTCCTATCCTACTCCTCCACCTGGGCTGGTGTCTACTTATTTCTCTCTCCTACTTCCACACTATTCCTTATTCAGACTTGATGATTCCCACTAGACACTGGAAGAGTGAACACTAATTTGTTAATTCTTTCCCCTGACTTATCAACTTCATAGCATCATTTCCCTTAGGAATTAGACTCTGTGAACCAAAGTGAATTTTAATTTCTATGGGTAAAATCCAGCTCACCACTTTTTTGGAGTAAATAGCAGGCATGCCCATTTATTTATATACTGGAGGCCCAGTGCACAATATTAGGCCTGGCTGGCGATCAGGGACAATCGGGCCTTCCAGCTGCTGGCTGGGGCCTCCCTTCGTTCTGTGCTGCCCCCTGGTGGTCAGCGCACGTCATAGCGAGAGATCGAACTCCCGGTCTCCCGATCAAACTCCTGAGGGGACACTTTGCATATTAGCCTTTTATATATATAGATTGTTCAAGGCTGCTTTCAGGCAATAAGGGCATAGTTGGGTAGTTAAGACAGACACCATACGGCCTGCAAAGCCTAAAGTATTTACTCTGGCACTTTTCAGGAAGTTTGCCGAGTCCTGTCCTAGCACATCTATATAAATGGTTGAATTTCAAGCAGGAATTATATCCTTTCTTTTGTCCTAAAGGTCTCTTCCTCCAACTCTCAGCCCCAATAGCTTCAGCTTAGACCTTGAGGCCAGAGCAGACCTAGTCTTGTGGAGATAGGCCAATATCTATCTACCCCTGAGGCCAGGGAATAGGCCTCATCCACTTGTTGTAGGTCAGCCTGATTAAGAGCCTACCATCTGATATGTGGCTGCTTCCAACATTAAAGGTATGGTGTGTCCAATGGGAGAAATGGACCCTGATCACTGTGGTCTTAGAGAACAGAGTCTGGGCTCCTCAGCAGGTTCTTATAAGTCACCTGCTCAGCCCTGTCCATCTTGATTTCACCTGGCTCTCCCTGTACTAGTCTATACTTCTTTGCTAGCTCTGCAGATCCAATCCTCACTTGTTCTTTATTTACTTTTTAGACTGTTAAATGATGACAAAATATGGCCCTCATGTTCTCGAGCTACTATATAGGAAAGATACCTATTTTGGCGGTTGTAACACTGATAAAGTCTCTTTACTTAGTTATGTCCTGACTTAGCTTAAACTTGGGTTGATTCTAGAGATGAAACAAATTACATAGCTGACCCATCCCACACCATCAATCAAAATATTTAATTCTTAGCTTTACCAGAGTATACAACTCATTTAGCATTGTTGGTTGCTCACTACCGAGGGAAAAAAGTTAAAAGAGAGACTGGATGCTTGTATGCTATTATTACTGTTTTCCTACAGTCTCCGGTAGGTAGGGTTAGTAGCTTTAGGACAGTCTATCTGAAGGATCAAGAACATGAATTTTTTTCCTATCATACGAGGCAAAACATTTTCAGATACTTATAATATCTGGAATTTTGTTAATATCAAAGAAACATCTTGTTATGATAATAAATGAAAGCAAATTATCATAGCATTATATAAATAAAGCTGTGAGTAGTTACTGATGTTACTATAAAACTTTAGAAGAGAGTGTAGAAATTGCAATAAAACTTCTGAATGATAGGAGTTGAAAAGGTAAGATGAAGGATTTAACTAAGGTGCAAACATCTGAGAAGACCAGAGGGACAGATACACAGCTGTTTGGGAAAGCACCTTTCAAATTTAAGGGATGGAAGGGTATTTGCTATAGGCATCAGTTGGAATTCTCTAAAATAGTAAGCTTCTAATATAAGGAATCAATTAGGAATAACAGCAGTATGTTTCAGTTTACTTTGAAGAAACTTATAATTGACCCTAGAAATAGCTTACCTTTGTTTCAATCCTCTGAGGTCTTATTTGAGTCTTTACTTGCCTACTCTCTACAGTGATCTTAGCATTCTAAGACTAACTTAGGACAGGTACCTGACATGTTTTGGTAAATAAATAGGTTATAGATCTTTAAAATAACATAAAAACCCACAGGCCTCTTAAATATACTCCACTTAAATAAAAATCTAAAAAGTTCCAAGTTAAAGATGCCCAAATTGAGCACTGAGGGGCAAATTAAAATTCTCTTTAATTATAGTATAAACAGTCCTTGTCCCAACATCAACAAGTTTAGACTAATTTTTGCAGATATTGGGAAAAAAATCTTAGGATAAGAAAACTAAGAAAAATGGATATGGGACTTATTAAATATTCTTAGATATCAGGCTATAATGCCAGAACATTGTTAAAGCTACTTTTCTAAAGATCTGGTTTAAAGTGAAAATCCTTCATGCCAAAGCTCCCCATCTAACAAGTCTTGTGATCTAGATGTTGAGGACTTGATTGCATTTTACTCACTCCTAAAACAATTAATGAGGCATCATGGGGAACCACAAACCAATGTCTGAGTTTTCTCCTAAATCATATTCTAAGAAAATACTCCTTGGGTTGTTTAATATTAAGACAAAAAGTTGATCTGAAAAGCAGCAACAATCACCTACTGATTTGTTATGCTTCCTTTAGGTTTTTTGCAACATATCAATAGGTTAGAAACTTTATGTATTTGATACATTTTGAAGTAAGAATAAAAAGTCCCAAAAGGTCTACTGTGGATTTCTGTAGAATATGATACAAGCTTCTTTAACTCACCTCCAGATGCCTTTGACCTTTCTTTCAACTTTTCCGTAGCCATTTCACCATAGCTGGGAAGTTCTGACATCTTCACTCCAGATCGAGCTTCTGCTATTAGCTGACGAGCTCTCTCTCTCAGCTGCCGACGTCGCTCTTCATCTTGCTGCTAAGATATATTGAACAGTTGCCAACTCAGTAATTGACAGAAATGCAATTTCATTTTCAATCTGATCATCATGATAGTAACTGGTTTACAGCATGGTGCTTGGCCCACATTATAAATAGGATGCTCTATATCAGTTGGATGTCACACCATTTTTAAAAGACATCTTAGAATCAGATTTAAAAAAAAACATTTACAAAATTATTGTATTAAAATGTCTTGTTAAAAATTCAAACTAGCTTCTAAAGAATGTTTGGCAGTATATATTACTGAGGTAATAGCAGAAACGATTATTAATAAAATAATCAGGCTTATAAAAGAGTCATAATATTAAAAACAGAATTTCAATTAATACCTACCTTATTTTTAAGAATAGAATTTAACTTGTTATTTTCTAATAAAAGCATAGAGCACTGACTAAAATACAGCTTTGATGGCAAAAAAATGTTGCTACACCATGTTGATAATATATAGGAAATGGTATTTTTAGGGGACTGAAGTAGGAATGGGAATAGTACATTAATTACACAAGTTATTGCTCTTGTTAGTTTTAAAATCAGAACTGGGTAACTGATGTACGATCCCCATTCCTACTCTCTCTCCCCCCAGAAGCACACTGAAAAGAAAAAGTAAAATCTAATGTGGTTTTTGATGTTTAAAATAACAAAAGACTACAGAGAATTAAATAACTAAAATAGTTTTTGCCTACTAAAAAGGATTATTATGAAACATACTTAACCAATGTGAAATTGCTTCATAAACTGGAAAGTATGTAAAATAAGGCATTATTATGACAAAACAAAGCCTGAAATTATCTGGCCTAACATATCTTTGCAATATTACCTTCCCTTAACATCTCCCAGCCTCCATTAAAGCTCACATATATTCATACAGAATTGCTTGTATCATGTAGTTTCATGGATGTGAATATGTCATTTCCTCTTCCTGGAATGTTCTTTTCTCATCTTATTTAACTCCTACTCATTCTTCAAGATTTAGTTTAAACCCACTAAACTTCTCCAGACTATCCTTCCCTCCTCCCCACTGGTGGAATAAAGTAGTGTGTGTGTGTGTGTGTGTGTGTGTGTGTGTATTACTTTTTAAAATAATACTTGTCAAGTTACATTATAAATCTGTATAAATGCTTCCTTCTCAGTAGAATTGGGCTACTTGAAGGCAGGAGCTATATCTGATTTATCTTTGTATCTATGGTCCTTAGTACATACCTTGGTACTTGCTATAGAAATTTGAAACATGAAAATTTATAATTCATCCTCTCAAAAGCTTGTAATATAAAGGGAAAGATAAAATAGCCACAATAAAGAGGTCTTACCAAAATGCAGCTAGAGTTCAGAAGAACATTTTGGCTGAGGAACAAACAGAAGGCATCATGGTACCATGGTTTGTGAGATGGGCCTGCAGAATGAGCAGGAATTGAAATGGGTACAGATGGGAGTTGGTAATTAAGTGAGTCAGTGTAGTAGAGACTAGGAGGTAGGAACAATACAAAGACATTGAGGCAGGAAAGTATTTTGGGGGAAAAGTACAGTCTAGTTTTCCTGAGCATAGGGCAAAAATAATGACAGAATGACAAGGCAAGAAAAATGAAGCTATCTAGATAGACTGTAAAAGCCCTGTCCAACAGGGTGAAGTACTTTATTTTTACTGTAATAAAACTGAGGGCCAACTAAGTGTTTGGTTTTGCGTGTGACCAATCAGAGGTATATTTGAGAAAGGTTAATCTGACAAAAGTGCATAAGATAGGTTGACATAAAGGGACTGAAAAGAGACTCGTTGGGAGGCTACTATAATAGTCCAAGGAACTTGTAATGAAATCTAGAATTAGGATGGGGACAATGAGAATGGAAATAGACAAGTGTAAGATATATATTAGAGACAGAATTGATACCTGTACCAATTCTTGGTAACTAATTAGATAGGGAGGGAAGAAAAAAAGCTGACTCAGAAGTTTAGAATGGTGGCACTAAAAATACAAATAGAAAAACCAAGAGGAACTATAAAAAAGGCAGGAGAGGAAGTTGGGGATAAGACAGACGGGTTGAGAGGCTAGCAGGCCATCTGAGTAAAGATGTTAGTACGCAGTTGGGAAGTGAAACTGAAGAAGCTCTCATGGAAAAGGGAGTAATCAACTAAAGTAAATGTTAGAAGTTAATAAATCTGAACATTAAAAAAGGGAAATTAAATTTGGCAGGTAATATTATTTGATGCTGGGATAGTCACCGGATTGGTGGAACCCAGCTGTCATGCTTTGAGAATCCCAAGTTACATGCAGGTGTGCTCCAGTCCACAGTCCCAAATAAGTTCTGCCTTGAGTTTTCTAGGCCGAAGTACCAGACATATGAAGGAAGAAGCCTTCACATGATCTCAGCCTTTAGCCATTTTAAGTCACTCCCGATGCTGAAGTCCTTTCAGCTGAGGCCACAGACAATATGGAACAGAGACCAAGCATCCCCACCATGCCCTGCCTGAAGTCCTGACTCACAGAATCTGTGAGCAAAAAACAATTGTTTACATCACTAAGTTTGGGGTAGTTAGTTACACAGCACTACTAATCGGAACATATGCTTGATACCACACAGATTATTTTCTAGTTGCAAGGGGAAACCAGAACTAGATCAAGGATTAGGGACCAATAATATAATGGTCAGTTTTTGCATCAGTATTATTAGGTCAACCATTTAATGTTTTTTGATGTGAAACATGAAGTGCACACCACCTAGAACAGTCTAGTCCAAATATTTGAAGTGAATCCATTAAGCCTTTATATATAATTTCCAGTTTATCATAAACAAGGGAGAGAGAAACATGATGACATAGCAAGGAAGCAGCCAAACAAATTCAGAAGGTAGGATATTCAAGACAACTGACCTGGTTATTTTAACAAGAGAGTTATGAAAACAAACACTAAAAAAAACCCAACTAAACAATCACCATCACCACCAACAAAAGAGATTAACCAGATACGATGTATAGTCCTGAGTTAGATACTGGTTTGGATAAACCAGCTATGAAGGACATTGTTGAAAGAATTATAGAAATCTGAATATAATCAAAGTATTAAATAAGAAGAATGTAACTTGGCTAAAAAATAGTTTATATCAAAATAAATACACATATAAATATATATATACACAAAAACACTTAGAAGTACATTCACAAAGCTGTTATGATAGACTATCTAGATGTGGAAATGTGATGTTTTTGTTTTCTTTCATTTGTCTTTATTTTTAAATTTTTATAGTAGATAGGTACTACTTTTATAATAGACTAGAGGCCTGATACACAAAATTCGTGCACCTGTGCAGTACCTAGGCCTGGCTGGCGATCGAAGCATGAGTGTCTGGCGTGGAAGGGCAGGTTCCAGCTGACGTCTGGGCTCTGGGCAGCACCTGGGCCCCAGGGTCCCCACACCCCCACCCCCCTGCCTGATTCATCGAGCCAGGTGGTGGCCCCGTCCTCCGCCACCACTGCTGGTCACCATCTGTGGGGTGACTGGCGGGGTGATTGGGCCCTGCTTGCACCCGCCTTGGCCTGGTGCTGCCCGCTCACCCTCTCCACCATCCCGCTGTGGTCCCACTCTCTTTGGGGCCCATTGGGGCTGGCAGTGCCGCGTCGCCAACACCTGCCATGTTCCGTGCCGCCCCCTGGTGGTCAGCGCACGTCATAGTGAATGGTCGAACTCCTGGTTGAGGGGACAATTTGCATATTAGGCTTTTATTATATAGGATATTTTTTTTAAAAAAAAATCTTGGGGTAAGGAAGGAAAGATATGAGATGGTAGGTTTCCTAGGGTGGGTGGTATTTGTGGTGAGGGCAAAAGAAGACAAAATCTAAAATTCAAGGGAAATTTTCTTAGTATTTAGAGACAAGAGCTTATTTGTAGTTAGAGAATTAGTACACACCAGGCAAAGTGAGACTGACAATGCAAGAATAATATACAAAAATCCTCAGTACACTTTTAATATTTCTGAACTTGGAAAATATACTAGAATAAAAAGAAATACAGGCTTGATAATGGTGAGTTTGGTGACGGTTGCTGATATTTCTTGATCTGTTATGTGGTAAGTCCTTTATATGCATGATCTTATTTAATTTTCACAACCGCAATGAGAATACTTAGATTTAGAATTTCAAGATCACACAGCTAGAACTGATGTCAGAGCCAGGAGTCCAGCTCAGGTCTATTTGACTACAGAGCCAGCCCTTGCTCTGAACCACCAAACTATTTGATCCCCCAAATTATCAAATTACATGACCAACTGAGGAAAATTGAACTTTTACTAAACTTTTTCATCTTTCAAACTTAAGAAAAGTTAAGAGCACTAATAAAAACCATTATTGGATATGCCTCAGGCAACTAGATTTAAGTGAATTTCATTGTGTGAATAATAACTTCTTGGCAGAGCTGGAATTTGGTGATTCAGACTAAGATGATGTGATCTTAGGTCATCTGAGTTAAAATGAAATAAATGATTCTACCTTTCTGAATATGAAATGGAAAACTAATTTCTTCTCACAAGCTGCCACCTTCCCCATGCCCACCCCCTCCTCCTCCTCAACTCCCATCTGTAAAGATTTCTAAGAGTCGACCAAGAGTGCAACTTAAAGCAGACAATTATTAATAAAACCAACTCTAAATACTAATTAGGGACATTTCATCAATTTCCATGTAAATTGTTTGTTTGTACCTATTTACCCATCATTGTTCTCTATACAATAGAAAAAAATGCAAATGAACAAGTCAGAATGCGCCCTAATGGGACTTTCTGTTTATAACCATTAGCCCAGAGGTGTGCTGTAATTCAATTCTCAAGTAGTAAGATTTAGCCTCATTAACAGACTGCAAGGGCAGGTTACAACTCATAAAACCCTACAGTAAACAAAGTTTATGGACACAGCACAAAATCTTGAGCCTGATTGACAGAATTCTGGTTCCCTATCAGATTGCCTTGATTTACTTTTCTACTAATGTCCTGACACCA